TTATTTCGCGCACTGGGGTAGACTGTTCTAGTTCCACGTGCCATGTTTGATGGATGTCAGCTATCAGTTGTCTCCTGTTAATATTCCCTCTGAAAGTTCTCTACTGCCTTAACCGGGTATTGAACTCACACTCTTTGGGTGCTCAAGGACACCTGGCACAGTGGATAAAGGCGTTGTTAGATCCAGTGACAGGATTATTATGAGTACCATTTATTATCACCAAATAGTAAGATTGTCTTTTAATACGGCCTAATTAAACCATTACCATTTAGCACTGCTAATTGTTACCATTACCAATTATTACCAATAATATTTTTACCATTAAGTTTTATCACCATTACCGCCAAAGGTTACGTTTCTCCTTAATTATCGCCATTTTTTACCATTACCATTCATTATCATCAAATATTACGATGATCTTTTATTACCACCAAATTATACAATTACCATTTAGTACCACTAAATGCTAACATTACCATTTATTATCGTGAAATATTACCAATAACATTTATTACCGCCAAAGTTTACCATTATCGTTATTTACCGCCAACATTTATCATTACCATTCATTACCATCAAATGTTACGATTATCTTTTATTACCGCCACATGTTACTATTAAGTACCACTAAATGTGAACATTATCATTTATTACCGTCAAATCTTACCAATATAATTTATTACAGCCAAAAGTTACCATTATCATTAATTACCATTAACTTTTACCATTAACATTTATTACCACCAAATGTTACGATTAACTTTTATTACCGCCAAATTTAACCCTTTAGTACCATTAAATGTCACAATTACCATTTATTACCGCCAAAGGTTACCATTATCATTAATTACCGCCACATGTTGCCATTACAATTTCGCACCGCTAAATATCATCATTGCCATTCAGTACCGCCATTGTTAATAGAAGTTTCGATTTTATTAGAAATGGCAAATGAATTGTCTGAATTTCAGAAGAGGAATTGATATAAATAGAAGCATTGCAGAAAAGATGTGACAGCTCAACTGATTTATATGAGATGAGGTGAAGATGAGGTTACAGAGCATGCATTTTTGTTAGCTTACCGTTTCCTTAATAGTCTGATTCAATATACTTTATGGCCAATAGAATCTTCGGACGTTTAATTGAAATTTGATTACCAGTCTCAAAAAAATAAAAAAAAATAAAAAAAAATAAAAAAGCAGCCAATCATCATAAGAACAATTTACATAAACCATAATTTAGAGATTAATGCGCTTGTTAGGAATGGTCGTGGGTTGGCTTGCGTTGGTTGACCGAGGTTGACTGACACTGGTATCTTTATATTTGAGACTTAAAGTAACGACGTGCTATAGGCTTCCAAGCCCTCACTCGGGTGTCTTGATAGAGTTCAAAAGCGCCTACGCGGCCTTGTTGTTGGTAATGAATTCCTTCCGCCATCCAACTCCTTTCTTTTACCATTACCTTTTATTACCACCCAATGTTACGATTAAACTTTATTACCATCAAATTTTACCATTAACTTTTACTACGGTTAATGTTACGATTATCTTTTAATATGGTCAAATTTTTCCATTACCATTTAGTACCGCCAAATGTTACCATTACCATTTATTACCGATATTATTTTTACAATTAAGATTTATCACCATCAAATTATTACCGCCAATTGTTACGAGTACTATTTACTATTTACTACGGTTAATGTTACGATTATCTTTTAATATGGTCAAATTTTTCCATTACCATTTAGTACCGCCAAATGTTACCATTACCGTTTATTACCGATATTATTTTTACCATTAAGATTTATCACCATCAAATTATTACCGCCAATTATTACGAGTACTATTTATTATCAACAAATAGTACGATTATCTTTTATTACCGCCTAATTATACTATTACCATTTAGCACTGCTAATTGTTACCATTACCATTTATGATCGTCATAATGAGATTAATGCGCTTGTTAGGAATGGTCGTGGGTTGGCTTGCGTTGGTTGACCGAGGTTGACTGACATTGGTATCTTTATATTTGAGACTTAAAGTAACGATGTGCTATAGGCTTCCCAACCCTCACTCGGGTGTCTTGATAGAGTTCAAAAGCTCCGACGCGGCCTTGTTGTTGGTAATGAATTCCTTCCGCCATCCAACTCCTTTCTTGCAGACAAAACATCTCGAGCCTCTCGCTATTTTCATGGCATGCGTCATGACAAGACGCATTCGTTGGTCCCAACAACCTTTATCTTTGCGAACTGGGACCGGCTAAGCCACGTTCACAGACATGAAACATCCTAATACCCCCTTCGTATTCGATTAGAAAAGAAAAAGTTCGACTCAAATAGAAATGCTGCTTTGTGGAACAGACTCACCGCAGAACGTCTTGCACTCCTCCATAAGGCTGTGAATTTCACGTCTTGCTTTTTCTGACGCCCGTATGACAACACACAGCAGTGCTCTACTTTGGTTCTTGTATTTTCTTGACGAAAAGTGCTACAAAATTAGTATGAAATGGGGTTTGAATAAGTAAACATTAATTGCTTATATTCGCTCTTAGCTGTTTATATATGCGTCTTTGTAAATATAAAAATAAGGACAGCTACACAGATATAGGGCGTTTATTTTGAGACTACAAGTATTTATTTTATATCAGGTATAGTCAAATTATTAATATTTTATATTGGACCGTTTATTATCGTTTACCTAGCCTAGGATAGGTACATATTTGAATGTTTACTTGGTTAGTATGATCATATGGCTGAGTGGTTAGAACATTCACATTCTGACAAAGGGTTATGCCGGAACGTACCTATTTCTATTGTAAATAGACACTATATAATATAGATAATAAATAGTAGTAGTAGTAGCAGTCGCCAGTGAAGCTCAGTGAGTTGGTCTGAGTTCAGTCTGAAGTCGGACGACTGGCTGACCGGTTGAACTCTCTGCCTTCGGGCGGGGAGGAACTCGAACGAGGCTACGCCGAAGGGCGGAGTCTCTTTCGGGAAGGTAAACCGACCCTGAACCCGTTTATACGGGTTTTAAAAGGGCATATTTTTGGCCGAGCCCACGAGCTCGGAGATCCCACGTTAAACCGGCTTTGTGCCACATGATGCCCTCGTGGGGGGTGACTGAATATCGCTCAGTGAGTTGTGTAAGTCAGTCGATGTTGGACATTAAAGTATGAACCACGACAACTAGATTGCTGCGTCATTAACTATTATATCAAGTTCCTAACGTTTTGTACGTCGAACCTAATTTAGGACCGACTTAGTGAAATACAAGCCTCCACTGTGAAAATTACTCTACAACACAAAGAGACCCGGGTTCGAATCTCACCATAGTCGATTTGTCAGGAAGGGGACATCCTGATGTTATCGGATTGGAGGTGTTCGATCCCAGCGTGCGGCACTTTTGGCAAGCACGGGTTCACACAAGCATTGTGAGTGAAACTGAATAGACGGAACGCTTGGATGCTGTCGATAGCTGTGCTAGTACGAAGTCACAAGTCATCGTGACCGAGGGTTTGTGTGTGCTAATCTTGTTCAGATTGTTGATCACGCCAGAAACTATTACTAAATCTGCTTAGCATAGCTGCAGTATAAAACGCAGGTGGAATTTGTGGGTGTTGAATAAACACAAATGCGCCTGAGCAAGCGTCTGCAATAGGGATTGGCTAGCACAAGTCGACAGGTATCCTCGATTAAGGTTGGTCAGCTGTACTACTACTACTACTGCTGCTGCTAGTGGAGTGGTAAATATTCCGTCTTTTATATTTGATTATAAGCACCTACGTGTTTATACTTGAGTCTAGAAGCATTTATTTGATTCAAGAATAGGTAAATATGCAGGCTATCCGGTCCAAAGTCGGAATTCGATGGCAGGACCGCATAACCAACCTCGACGGCTCCTTCTTCGACATTTGTCGTTTCACTGCCAATGTCTCCAAGATCTCTTCCACGATGTCCTCTTTGCTGATGACTGTGCACTAGTGACCCATGCAGGTGCGATCTAGAACTTATGCTTGACCGCTTCTGTGACGCCTCTTCGGCCTGACAATCAATCTTGGCAAGACTGAGGTGTTTCATCAGCCCAAAACAAACACCCCCAGCAACGACTATCGTCATCAATGACACGCAGACTGCCAATGTCGAGTATTTCAAATACCAGGGAAGTACTATCTCTCGTGACGGCTCCTTGGACAAAGAAATTTATGCCTTAATCAGCAAAGCTATCATTAGGAAGGCTTCACAACAGAGTGCTCAGTCAACACAACATTCGGCTGACTACAAAGCTAAGCGGGTACAATGCAGTGGTCTTGCCCTCTCTATATAGGGTTGTGAGTCTTGGACACTGTACCGAAGAAATATCAAGGAACTTGAAGAACATCCATATTCGAGCTCTCCTTTCCATACACAGAATTCGCTGGTAGGACCGCGTTACCAACCTTGAGGTCCTGGATTGTGCTCACTCCTCAAGCACTGACTCAAGCATGTTCATTAAGGCCCAACACCGATGGGTGGGGCATGTAACCCGCATGGAGGAGCATGCTTGCCAAGACGTCTGCTGTACGGAGAGCTCCTGCACAGAACAAGAGAAACGAAGGTCGTCTAAAGAAGCGGTACAAAGATATTGTGAAAGGAAATCTCCAGGAGTGCAAGCTGAAACTCAAAGAACTAGAACTAACGGGCCAGTGATCGACCACGTTGGAGAATCATAATCCATGATGCTGCTGTCACCTTTTAGGATACTCGACTAAGGAAGCTCACCGTTGCCAGAGATCAACGCCACAGGACATCTTCAGCGGAGATTACGACAACCACTTTTCCAGACTCTGCGCCTCCAACCTAGGACAGCGGAACCACCTCCGAGTTCACAGATGAGATGCAGAAACGATACACGATATGTGGTGATCCATCTTCGGATTCGATGGACAACCGCAAATATATATATTCCATTGTCGTCATGTCTGATACGCCGGTCAAATCTTATTCTATAGACGTCATGTCTGATACGCCGGTCAAATCTTATCCCATCGACGTCATGTCTGATACGCCGGTCAAATCTTATCTCATCGACGTCATGTCTGATACGCCGGTCAAATCTTATTCGATCGACGTCATGTCTGATACGCCGGTCAAATCTTATCCCATCGACGTCATGTCTGATACGCCGGTCAAATCTTATTCGATCGACGTCATGTCTGATACGCCGGTCAAATCTTATTCCATCGACGTCATATCTGATAGGCCGGTCAAATCTTATCCCATCGACGTCATATCTGATACGCCGGTCAAATCTTATTCGATCGACGTCATATCTGATACGTTGGTCAAATCTTATTCCATCGACGTCATATCTGATACGCCGGTCAACTCTTATCCCATCGACGTCATGGCTGATACGCCGGTCAAATCTTATCCCATCGACGTCATGTCTGATACGCCCGTCAACTCTTATTCCATCGACGTTATGTGTGATACGCCGTGTAACTCTTACTAACATCGAGTAGTCACGTCTGAAACGCCGTTCAGCTCTTACTAATATCGAGTAGTCATGTCTGAAACGCCGGTCAACTTTTAGTAACATCGAGTAGTCATATCCGAAACGTCACCTAACTGTCACCGCAATCGATTAATCATGTCTAAAGCACCAACCAACCCTTCTATCCATCGACTACTCATGTTGACACGCCAGGCAAATCTTATTGTCATTGAATAGTCATGTCTGGACCGGTAGCCAAAACTTATGACTATCGACTAGTCATGTCTGAAATACCAGCCAACTCTTATTTGCATCGATTATCTGGCGGGAAATCTTCGCCTCGTGCATAGATTTTTGATAAGGCGCCGACTTGTCCTATTTTCCTGCCATCAGATTTGCAGAACTCTTGAAATATGTACGGTTCTTTCGAGATTCCAGATCATTTGCCCAAAGTTATCTAATTTTTGACGACCGATTATGCTAAATTATAATCGATCCGATTCATATCGTAAGATAATACAAACCTCTTCCTTCCTCGCTCTCTCTTTTAGAAACTGTTTCGCAGAGTCAAATGGGCTAGAAATAAATTTCAATGTCCGACTTCAAATAAGAAAGGATTTATTGACCAATTGGAGAGGATGCAAAGATTAAATCTCGCATAAATTTGAAACCAAGTTTTGCAAACAATGTTGATCAATAGTAGCCAAGTTCTAATGAGAAACGTTTTGGGGTTCTCGCCCTGTAATAATTTCAAGCGAGATAGAATCATGAAACAGGTACAAAAAAAAAAAAAAAAAAAAAATGAACTGCATTTATTTCTTTTTAAAATTACGAGAGCTTTTTGATAAGATAAATCCGTAAACATATAAAATAATTTTAACTGAGAGAATAATGAAAACTTTTTTTCTGATTTAAAAAATTACAAGGGCTGATCGATAACGTTTTCAACCCTACAAATCATGACTTAGGCTAGATAAATTAATGAAACTGATACATAAAAAAAAAGTAATTATATTCCTCATGAAAATGGGTTCCTACATAAGCTCTTCAATCCTATATATAAAAAAAAATCAACCGAGAAGGATAATGAATCTGATATGAAAATTTATTCCTATTAAAAAATGTAAGGGTCTTCGATGCTAGGAATGACATTTTACAAGAGATAGAATTATGAAATTATTACTTTCATAGTAACTGTTCTCTCTATGGTACCAAGAATCTATGGATTTAAGCGCATTACTGGATTGGCGGCTAGGTCTCATCATTATACAGTTGAAAGGAGTAGATATAACCGTAAGTTCTATGCTAACAGTTTCTGCTCTCGCACTTCTTTTATTGTAGAAATCTCTCCCGGATTCTCGTTTCCAGTTAAGTCCTATACTGAAAGATCTAATTACAGTGTTAATCGGTATTTTTTGTCACTTTAATTCCCGTTCTTTTATTTTTTCGACACTTAATAATATTTTTTCTTATACTCTTATACAGTCATTAATCTCGCTGCACCTTAGTGGCTTCGTTGCCTTGCATGGAAGGAAATGATAAAAAAAAGTCAATTTATTTTTCTTAATCAATACAACGGTTGTTTTTTACTGTTCGAGCGAGTATTATCGCGCAAGTAATATTAGTGCGAGTGATATTCGAAGGCGTCTGACGCCAGTATTGTTCAACGGCGTTAATATAGTTGTATCTGCGATTACAAAGTCTCTACTACAACGGGCATTACGAAAGTGGCAACGAGGATTGGTTGATATTACAAAGGTGTCAACGTGTGTTCGTTGACATCACAAAACAATGTTATACTTTGGGGGTGTTTTAAAAGAAGTGGGGGGAAAATTAAGCGGATATTTGTTGATTTGTTATTCTGAATCGGTAAGTATTACAGCAACTGTACACCCATCTGTTTTTTTCGTACACATGACAGATATGCTGATTCATTCCAGTTTTTCATTCATAGGGGTTCGAGAAAAAGCAAAATTTTCTGCAATGTCTACTTACTTAGCGGTTCTTGATAAAATACAAAGACTAACCTGCAATGTTATTAGTCCTGACCTGGCATCTTGGCTGTCGGCATTTCCGTTACAATTCCGTCTGACCCTGCCGCTTTGTTTCTTTTCAATTTGGCCAGTGAAGTCATTTTTTTTTCAACTTTAGGGTAGGGTCTCCAGTTTCTTCTAAAGTCTATTTCATCTCTATACTTCTAATCTCTCCTCCTGAACTCTGAAATTTTATTTACTATAATTATTCTTTCCTTCTAGATAGTAGATAGCTACACCTGTTGCCCGGTTCATACCCCTCCTTTGTCTCTTGAACAGGACTAAAGATTTATCATTTGTTTCCTGTTCCTTCTAAAGTTCTTTCACTCCTAGTAATCCCTTGCATCTTAGTGGCATTATCACCTTATTTGCGAGTGAAAAGAATTTAAAAAGAAATTGGATTTTGTTGTGGATTTCGAGATGAAATTCAGTCTCCAATGAATGACAAACGCAAGAAATAATGATAAGAAATTAAATATATTTACACAATCATACAAAGGGTAATACTGTTAGTAAATCCAGGAACGCGGTTAGTAGCAATAACATATAGATATATACAGTCTCGAAGTAGGACTTCCTTAGAGTCTACCTGCTTGTAACTGACTTCTACAAGCGGTTACCTCACACTACTACTCTACCTCCAACTCAGTCAGAATCTCTGCTCACTCTCCCAATATCTCTTTCAATCTCAATCTCTCTCTCTCTCTCTCTCTCTCTATATATATATATATATATATATATATATATATATATATATATATATATATATATATATATATATATATATATATATATATATATATTCTGGCTGACTCCGGTATTTAACGTCAGCAGTCCAAGTAACACTTTGGTCGAGTCCACTTCTAAGAAAAAGGGGAGGACCCCATAACAGATTTAATTACCTTCAGATTTATGAGGTTTGATTCTTAAGTGTTCCTCGTCATTAATAAATACCCGAAAAATTCTTGTTCCGTAATTATGGTAGATTTTATGTCATGAATATTGAAAAATCTTCAAATAAAACTGAATATTTCAAGGTGATGAAATGAAACATTGTACTACAGTTTTTGTAATGCATCTGAGACGGCACGCGCAATAACGTTGGCATGAAAACAATAAAAATGAGGATACTAGTTTCTGGTCTTAACTCGAGACCGAGGTTTAGCGGGTGGCAGGATATCAGGCATCATCTTTCCTTCTGTTGTTCGATTTGTTTGTTGAACGGCATATCAACAACTTATGAGTCATTTAATGCCGAAATTTAATTTTCCTGAAGTCATCAAAATATGATTTATATTATTCTGCTTCCACAATTGAATACATGGTAGATGATACTCAGCTTTTGTGCACATACATGTTCGTATGGACATGATTACTAGAGGCGGTGATATGTGTGTTTATGTTGTGGATTTGTTGGGGTTATATTTGGAAATACAGTTTTATTTTTTAAAATAAATGGAGGATATTATATGGATTAATGTCATGAAAGAGTTATTTCATGTTGTTTGGTTGGTTGATTGTGTTTAGTGGCATATCAACACCTATGGGTTATTTAATGTCGAAATATGAATAACTTGAACACAGTTTTATGGATTCAAGGAAACATATTTTGAAAGCAATTACATGCCTTCAACTACAGATAAATTGTATTATTGGTCATTTTGCTATAAAATATATTGTTGGTCACTCTACTATAAAATGTATTTGGTGGTCATTTTGCTTTAAAAATTGTATTGTTGGTAATTCGACTATAAAATGTATTGTTGGTAATTCTACTATAAAATGTATTGTTGGTAATTCTACTATAAAATGTATTGTTAGTAATTCTACTATAAAATGTAGTGTTAGTAATTCTACTATAAAATGTATTGTTAGTAATTCTACTATAAAATGTATTGTTGGTAATTCTACTATAAAATGTGTTGTTGGTAATTTTATTATAAATATATTTTTTGTTGGTAATTTTTTATATAAAAATATATTGCTGGTATTCTTAGTATAGAAATATATTCTTATGCTTTCATAGTATTTTCTTTTTTTTTTTTTTTTTTGAGGGTTCTCTATTTTCCCATATCTGGAATGTTAAGAGGTGCTAGTAGCCCGTTATTTAGCGTGATTAACAGGTTAACAAACCCTCTTGGCAGCGCTCATCTCCGCTCCCAACCGATGACAACGGAATATGGCGTTCGTCATCCCTCGGTCCGTACACTAAGCAATCGGATTTTGAATTTAGAGTTCTCCTTCTCCGAGACTGTTTACCGCCCAAGCCTATAGGACCCAGTCTGTGTTGCTATTTACCTTTATTTTGGTGGGGGGGGAGTCGGAAGAAGAACTAACAGAATGATTCTTCTTCCTCATGATCATTTCAGCGTGTTTTCAGATAGTTTGGCGGCGCACATCTCCGCTCCTAGCTCATGGCTGACAGTCAAAGACCACGGATTGTGGATCGTCCTTCGGTGAATACACTAGGCAGTCCGAATTTGAATTTTGATTTCTCCTTCCAGAGCGGTTGCCACCGAAGACTATAAGGGACAGTCTGTAATATTGTCTGTACTATTCACCAAAACTGGTGAGGAGAGAAGGATTCCTACCTTTCCCAAGGGTATTAGCATGTAAATGAATGTAACAAACTCGACTAGATTTCGAAATCTGAGCCGCTAGCCATAAATTGACAAGCCTTTCTATTATTCAATCATTTAATTACTTGCTTCCCTGATAGTTACATTTGTGGGCAAAATGTTCAGAACGGCATTGTTTTCGTCAGAAAAGTAGGTATAATTTTTTATCAAAGTCGTTTTATATTCTATAATTTTCACAGACAATGAATAAGATATTAATTGTTATTGTCTGAAATTTTGGTGTAATTTGAGAGGATAATACAAAAGTTATGGATGATTTAGTGTTTTACTGCAAAACCCATGGCGGCCAAAATGATCAGAATGGTTGCTTTTACTCCGTGTTTTAGTCTATTTAACAGGCGAACTCTAATTTATTTAATTTGTTTACATGACGGTTCGTTTACTAAACATTACTAAGAATATCTGCAGTGTACTTTGCTAATATAATGCCACTTACTCCGTTACCAATTCCTCAGCAGATTATTAAGCTTCGAAAGAAGGATAATTTAAGTATTGTGTCTATTGCAAAAATTGTTAACAAGTCAAAAAGTGTTGTTCACGGCATTCTTAAGGTCTACAATGATTGTGGTTCGTGTGAAGCAAGAAAGTCTACAGGTAGGCCAAGAAAAACGACCAAGAGAGAAGATCGTGCTATGGTAAAGTTGGTTAAAAAGGACAGCTTTAAAACTGCTGCTGTTTTTCGGGAAATCAGCATTATACTGAAGAAAACTTTATCTCGAAAAACTGTGTCTCGTCGTTTAGTTGAACATGACCTACAAGCAAGAGCACCTGCAGTGAAGCCACTGATCAGCTCCAAGATCAAAAAGTGCCGTCTTACCTTTGCAACCGAACATATGTTGTGGTATCAAGAAAAATGGCAAACGGTGCATTTCAGTGATGAATCTAAGTTTATGTTATTTGGCTCAGACAGGAAAAGGTACGTTCGTCGAAAAGTAGGTGAAAAATTGTCGTCTAAATGCCTTAAGACTAGTGTTAAATTTGGTGGAGGTAGTGTCATGGTTTGGGGGATGATATCTGGTGATGGTGTGGGCCCTATGGTGCGATTACATGGAAAGGTAAATGCAGGATTTTATAAACAACTTGTAAAAGATCATGTCTTGCCTGTGCTGAGAAATTGAACTAAGCGACCACCCATATTCATGCAAGACAATGCCTCATGTCACAAGGCTAAGGTGGTCATGAACTTCTTCAAGGCTGAAAAGGTTAATGTTATGGATTGGCCTGCTCGAAGCCCAGATCCCAATCCTATTGAAAATGTGTGGAATATTCTAGGAGAATGTTCGAAAGCCAGAAATCCTAAAACAACCGAGCAATTATGGAATGCCCTTCAAGAAGAATGGAATAAGATCACCCAGCAAGAAATTGAAAATTTAATTTCCTCATGCAGTCGAAGATGTCAAAGTGTGATTGAAGCTAAAGGGCTTCACACTAAATATTAAATAATTCCAGTAATCTCTGTCATTTTGATTATTTTGTTATTTTTCAACCGTTCTGAACATTTTGGCCGCAACAGTATTATATCCAACTATTCAAATGTAATGTCAATTGACATCTCTAGATGCCTTGATCTAATTCCCCGTCCTTCTATTCATCCTTTCCTCTTTCTTGCCTCTTTACTCTTGCCCCACTCTCTGTTACTCCTTGCGTGCTAGTAGCACTCCTGCCTTGCTTACCGTGAAATACTTAAAAGAGAGAGAGAGAGAGAAAATTATTATTCTCCAGAAATTTCTAATAGGAAATTTGTGAAACTTTTTCCGGGTACTACTAGTTTAAAATAATATTTAAGTTCTTTGACGTGGCGTCTTTCATCATTTTTGTTTTAACAAAAAAAAATAAATAAATAAATAAATAAACAATCTGAAAGTTAAGTTTGATTAAAAACAAACGTTGGGCGTTGGTGCTTAGAAGGAATTTTCTGTTGAAGAAAAGCAAGGATTTGTAGTTGTTTTGCAGTAATATGAAATTAAATATGAGGAATAAAAAACTCGATCAGTTGAAGGATAAATTACATTGGGAGGCTAAGCTTGAAAGAAGACAATAATTTATATCTTGCCAAAACATTCCCTCGTTTTTTACTCCGGTTTGGACAAAACGAAAAACAACAAAAGACGAAAGAGTCAAGAAAATAATAACAAATTGAATAATAAAAAAATATATATATATACTAGCAGTCATACCAAGCTGGTCGATCAGAAAAAGCGTTCAATTAGAATGGCGCAAAAACAGCATCAAGTTTAGATGTAACAGAGTCTATCTTCTTTAATTACTTTAAAGTACTTTCATTAAAAAAACATTTCTAATTGAATACAGTTAGTGATATAATAGAAATAGTCTGTATTTATTCAATCGATGTTAGCCGAGGACGTGAAAGGGTAAAATAGGCAACATGAAGACCCACTTCAGACCACAATTATTTTGGGCTTTTTTGAAAAAGAGGATACATTTATAAAGCAATTGTTAAGTTTGATGAAAATTGGTTGAAAGATCAACGAAAAATAAGAAAGAAACCAGTAAAAATCTTCTTGCCATTTACGCGGGTTTTAACGATATTGGTGGACTCAATTATCAAGTTAAATCCGTGTTAAATAACTTATTCTTGGCTACAGTTAAGTGAAGTTTGTATTAGACTGCTTGAAAATTGAGGGAATTTTTAGTTTAAAATTTGTGTTGAAATCGATTTTTCGGTTTTTTCTCTAAACGCAGTGGCGTAGAAATAAAAATGAGGTATCGTTGAGCTCGTCATTAGGTAAATAACCTACACACCGACTTTACCGAAATCGGAGGAAAAACTGAATTTATCGATTTTTAATCGGCTTCATCAATTACTGATTTTAAAAAAAAATTATCTATGATTTTTACGCTAAGACCCTATCTCTTACATTGTACAATGTATGTGCCAAATTTGGTCAAAATCGGTTGGATGCATCTCGAGTGAAAATATATCACACAGAGAGACAGACAGAAATACTCTGTTTTATATATAGATGTATACATTTATTTGCGGTCACTTTTTTGCTAGAGAAAACATTTGTTAAGTAATCCGTATGTTGTGCCGTTCCATTTGCTGGGAGCTATACATTCTGTCTGCAAAAGGAAGAGCCGAACATGCAAATTCTGTATGGTTGTCAGCAAAGAGAAAGCAAAACGAAAGGACTAATCATCAATTGTATGAAAATATGAAGAATTACTGTCAGCAAAGAGAAAGCAATAAGAAAGGTCTTCTTTTTGGCGATAATGATTTTAGCGATGCAATTCTTACTAATTAATCCATAGAAGGAGGAAGAAGAATTGGATTATGGCCGTTCCCAAGGATACTGTCACGTAAGTAAATATAACTAACATAACTGGAATTAAAACTCCAATTTGAATTGAAACGGCGATTCCGAGCCGTTAACTATCATACCATCCGCACATCCAAGCTTACAACACCTGGTGTTCCCAAGTGGTCACCCATCTAGGCACTGACCATGCTCGACGTTGCTTAATTCCGAGCCGTTACCCAATATATTATCCGCACACCCAAGCTTACAATACCTGGTATTCACAAGTGGTCACCCATCTAGCTACTGACCATATACGACGTTGCTTAATTCCGGACCGTTATCCATTATACCACCCGCATATCCAAGCTTACAACACCTGGTATTCCCAAGTGGTCACCCATCTAGCTACTGACCATATACGACGTTGCTTAATTCCGAGCCGTTATCCATTATACCACCCGCACATCCAAGCTTACAGCACCTGGTATTCCCAAGTGGTCACCCATCTAGCTACTGACCATACACGACGTTGCTTAATTCCGAGCCGTTACCTAATATATTATCCGCACATCCAAGCTTACAACACCTGGTATTCCCAAGTGGTCACCCGTCTAGGTACTGACCATACTCGACGTTGCTTAATTCCGATCCGTTATCCATTATACCACCCGCACATCCAATCTTACAACACCTGGTATCCCCAAATGTTCACCCATCTAAGTACTGACCATGCTCGACGTTGCTTCATACCTAGCCGTTATCCATTATACCACCCGCAGATCCAAGCTTGCAGCACCTGGTATTCCCAAGTGGTCACCTATCTAGGTACTGACCATGCTCGACGTTGCTTAATTCCGGTGATCTGATGTTTTCAAAGTGTCATGGTTAGAAGTCCAACTGTTCAAAGCAAGATTTGTTTTATTCATATTTATGATCAAGCCTTTGCAGGTTATTTAAGACAAGATAATATTTTTATATTATAAGACTAATTTGGTGGATAATAATGATTTTCCTAATATAATTTACCGATAATTAGGTAGAGACGAGGTGAAATCATGCTTTTCTCAATTGAATATAACAGACCAGCCGGCAATTGAAACCAGGTTCTGAACCGCTATCCATTACACCAACCTCACATCAAATTACAACATCTGCTACTCTCCAACGGCCATCCATCAATGTAGCGACAAGACTCGACGTTATTTAACTTCAGTGATAGTAGAAGAACTAATGCTTCAACGTGATAGCGCCATAGGCCTGAATAATTTCAAAATCTGATTTGTCAGGGTCTTAATCAGGTTTATCTCTTTGAAACAAGTGGGATCTATATGGGTATATTAGCCCGTCAAGGATGGTTTCTAAATCCTAGACTAATCCAGCCTGCTCCTAAGAATTACTGATCCGCTTTTTAGTTTAAAAAAAAAAAAATTACCAGTGCTTACTCAAATCCCGCTTTTAGTCAATAGTCAAAGTAATTTTTCTTTCTTTTAGTAACATTACTCCATCTGAGACCACCACATATCACCATGAACAAATCGGAAAATGGACCGGTCAAACAACAAATCTGAAGTATTCGCCTGAAAATAAAAATGCCATTAATTTTTCAAGAAAAACTTTTGGTTCTTGTTGCGTATAAAAACAAAATGATAAATGTTTCCCCCCTTCGTTCTTCTATGTACTGACAGTTGGGAAGTTTTGATAAATGAACAAATTCTCTAAGGAAAATAAATTATTAAAGAAATCTACTTCTTCCAGCCGAAGGTGGATTTATTGTTGGTGCCTCTCATGGTCGCAACGCGAAAGCCAAATCGTTCATCTAAGCTCTTCTTTGCTTCTCAGTTTGAGGCGCATTGTGAAGTCGGGTCCTGCCTATGATTTGTATCAAGTGGCGATGCTGATATATTCCCCACATGCCGCGAAGAATTTATAGGCGTGCGGGTCTGTTGGACACTTGCGACAATTTTCGAATAGGTATCGTTCCGTTTCGGGTATAACTCACCTCCTTGCAGTAAATAAGAAACGCTTTTGCACGCCACGTTTAAGATTGCCAGGCCGGAAAACAACAACGAAGATGGAGACACGGAAAGCCGAGATAACGACCATAAATTTGGGGAATTTCTTTTCATTCACAAATAATAAGGGACAGACATTTTTTCCACTGATTCCCCTGCCAATATATATATATATATATATATATATATATATATATATATATATATATATATATAGAGAGAGAGAGAGAGAGAGAGAGAGACTAAAACATCAACACACTCATATTTCTAAAAGGTATAATAATAATAATAATAATAATCAACCACCGGGAGCAGGAAAATCGCAAAGAAAAAAAAAATTGCACTATTTACATTCACATTATAGTTTCGTTGGTGTTATCGCTTCGTTTCGGCTGTTCTGCTCTTCGGCCTTCTTTCGAAGTATATACCGATCGGTGTTACCTATAAGTGAATTCGAACTGAACCATTTTATTTAATTTACAGGGGTAGACTCACCTGATTCCACAACCAATGTCTAGGTATATTTCGTCTAGTTCTCATTTTTTTGTATTGCTCTGGTAGCCTAATCGATTCAAGTGCCGATTCGTGAATTTGGGGACATAATAAGAGATAGTTCAATTCCTGGGTCGGGCAGTGTTTAACTGTACTCGGTGCAAACGGGGCGAGCAATAACTGAACAGTACACCGTTTACTCAATGGCCATCCTGGGTATGACGATAAACTACATCCGCGTCCAGGGTAAGATGATAAACTACATCCGCGTCCTGGGTAAGACGATAAAATACGTCCAACAGCAAGACCTCAGATCAGGTGGTTATGAGGAGCGTGGGACCACCTCTAAATTGCTAGTGTTCCCAGGTCCCCCCCTGACACAAGGTGGTTGCACCTGTTAGGGTCACAACTATGGGCAAATAGTTAACCCCCACCAAACTGGGGTCAAAGCACTATGAAAGTGTAAAAATGTTTTTTTAATACCAGAAGTAATTTGTAAAAAAAAAGAAAATACCAGCAATGCATTATCAACAATATATTTTAGTCAAAAATGTTTTACCAGCAATAGTTTTTTAAAAAAAAATATTATCAGAAATAGATTTTTTGAAGAAAAATATTATTAGCAATACATGATTGTAACATATTACCACCAATAAAAAAATTTGTCGGCATTAAATAACCCATTTATTATAGATACACATATTTAAGTAAATGCTTTGTTTATAATAAAACAGTATTAACAACATCTACCGGCCTGAATGTCCGAGAAATTGTCAATAGTAAAAAAGCGTTCCCCGACAGGAATCGAAACTGAATCCTATACGGAGCCGTCATATAATCTAGCGTACCTTAACCGATTTGGCCACAGAGGTGCGTTCGGTTAGCAAGGTCGATTTTACTGTTTTTAAACAATTAAACATGATTTTCTCTTGTACATTCATATCTGCTCAATGCGTATCCAAATGTAAACAAATGACGTCATACATTAGGAAATGGACAAAGTCCGACAATTATTTTAAGACATTTGAGAGAAAATCATGAAGAATTGTGTTTAAAAACAGTAAAATCGACCTTACTAACCTATGAAAATTTCTCGAACATTCAGGCCGGTAAATCTTGTTTAATACTGTTTATTATAAACAGAGCATTTACTTAAATAATTGTATCTATAAAAAGAATGTTTAAACATAAAAATGTCTTAAAATAATTGTCGGACTTTGTCCATTTCATAATGTGTGGTCTTTTGTTTACATTTGGATACGCATCGAGCAGATATGAATGTACGAGAGAAAATCATGGAAAATTGTAGTTTAAAAACAGTAAAATTGACATTGCTAACCGAAACGCTCCTCTGTGGCGAAATCGGTAAAAGCACGTCAGGCTATATGACGGTTCTGTATAGGATACAGGTTCGATTCCTGTCGGAGGACGTATATTTTCTAATGACAATTTCTCGGGCATTCAGGCCGGTAAATGTTGTTAATACTGTTTATTGTAAACAGAAAATTTACTTAAATATTTTATCTTTAAAAAAGAATGTATAAACATAAAAAAAATGTCCAGCAGTATTTTAACTGTATCCCTGTCTTTGTGTTATGTTTAATTTTTCATTTTATGAAAATGAGGGACTGTTAAAAAAGCCGTTAGCGTTTATTCTGTATATATTCTTTATATTTATTAGTTGATGTCCAAATCTGTTATTATATTTTTCCCAACATTTTTTATTCGAATTCAAGGTAAATTCCAATCTCGCTTTCCCGTTCTGCGTATGGCGATAAACTACATCAGCGTCCTGTGTTAGACGATAAACTACGTCCAACAGCAAGGCCTCTGATCAGGAGGTTTTGAGGAGCGTGTAAGCACCTCTTAATTGCTAGTGTTGGCATGTCCACCCTGACACAAGGTGGTTGCACCTGTTAGGGTCCCAGCTATGGGCATATAGTTAGCCCCTAAACTTGCGTCAAAACACTATGAAAGTGTAAAAATAGGTTTTAATACCAAAAATACTTTGTAAAAATTTATTACCAGCAATAAATTTTTGAAGGAAAAAATTGTTACTAGAAATACATTTTTGAAAAAAATAAAATATATTGCCAGCTATACATTTTCGACGAAAAAATATTACCAGAAATAATTTTTTTGAAGAAAAAACTATTACCAGTGATAATAGTGGTAGTAGTCTTGATGTTGGCAATTCTACTATATTGATATATTAGTGTTATTTCTTCTATGAACACATATTTTTATATTATAGTGTTTTGTTTTTGCTTAGGGGTTAACTATTTGCCCAAAGCTAAGACCCTAACAGGTGCTACCACCTGGGTCTGAGAAGTTTTGGGGACAACAGGAATTAAGATGTGATTCAACGCTCCTCAAAACTTCCAGTCTCTCGATCAGAGGTCTTGCTGCCAGATGTAGTTTATCATCATACCCAGGACTAGACAAATTCCTGGTAGACGCTGTTTGTAAGTGATTTTAATAAAATATTGAACTGCGTGGACATGTTCATCTACTCGGGAGAACGCTATCAATGGGAAGAGATTATATACAATTAAGTATTAATCGACATCAAAGTTTGTGTAAACGGAATTTATATATTTACTACCTTACCTTACCTAATGTTTAGAGTACTGTCACGATAAGTTTTGTTTTGTTTTTTTTTACCAAAGAGAAGGCAAAAGAAGAGGAGGAGGAGGAGAACGACGACGACGACAACAACAACAACAACAACTTTCCATAATAAATTCCGGACGCTGCACTTAATCCAAAAGTAAATTTGTATGCACATCCATAATTACGTAATTTGAAAAAAAAAACAAAAAAAAAACATTTATTCTACATTAAAAATAATTTTAAATGCAGTCTCGTCCCCGACATTTCACTTAATTCCGTGATAAATTTCTAAATACAGAGGAACCTCGGTTCTCGAACGTCTGACATGTCTAACAAATCGGTTTTCGATCAGAAATTCGAGCTGAAAATGCTTTGGTTATTCAACAAAATGTCGGTTGTCGTACAACATTGCTGAACCGAATCGAACCTAGTCGATCCGAGCCGAACTAGTCGATCCGAGCCGAACCTAGTCGATCCGAGCCGAACCGAGTCGATCCAAACCGAACCGAGCCGAACCTAGTCGATCCGAGCCGAACCTAGTCGAACCGAGCCGAACCGAGCCGAACCGAGCCGAACCTAGTCGATCCGAGCCGAACCTAGCCGAACCTAGTCGATCCGAGCCGAACCTAATCCGAAACCTAGTCGATCCGAGCGAACCTAGCCGAACCTAGTCGATCCGAGCCGAACCTAGTCGATCCGAGCCGAACCTAGTCGAACCGAGCCGAACCTAGTCGAACCGAGTCGATCCGAG